GTGTGGGGTGGGGGGGGCCCCCCCCCTGCCTCTCCCCACACGCTCTTGTGTCCTGGCATTTCCCTCTCCCTGGATCCCTGTTCAGCAGCATTAACTCTCTGGTGCAATTTAGTTAATTTTAAAAGCAAATTACCATCTTTTTCAGCACTGTTTCACTGAAACAGCCTAACTCCCCCAGGAGAGCTCAGGGCAGCAGCGAGAAAGAAAGAGAAATGGCTCTTTATGGACTGTTATCCTAGCAGGCATGTGCTCCTTTCAGGCTTCCTCCAGACATTTTTACAGCTTCTCCCTCCAAACATGGATGTGTTCTGGTTCATCTTTCCCCTAATGGTGTTTCCCTTGGTAGTTTATCTTCTGCTGCTTGTGCCTTTTCATCTCTTTTCAAACTTAGTTTGGTTTAAGAGCATCTCCTACATCATCTGTGCTTGTATGTAGCTCTCCTTCATCACTCATTCCTTCAAAAAGTACTTGCTTTCCTCAGCTCTCATCCTCTGCTTGCTCTTCCTCTTTGTCGGTCCTCTATACTAATCATCATGTGTAAAAAAACCAAAACAAAACAAAAAAAAAAACACAACAAACCACCCCAACCCAACAACAACAACAAAAAACAGTAGAGACCCTACTCTTCTGGGAAACATTGGAAGATTTTTCCTTTCTTTTTTTCTTTCACATCATCTTAAAAGGAGCTGTGGATCACTAGGTATTCCTGAGCAGTCCGTTTGGCTTGTTGGGCTGAAATCAGTTCAGCACAGTGGGATCAGAAAGAGGCCCATTGGAAATATGGCCACAATTTGCATCTGGCTGTGAGCCATTACAGTTATTTATTTTTCCCTCCTGACATCTGTATGTTGTTTCTATTGAGCCTTACTTACCCTTTTGGCAGGGTTTTTAAAAGAATGTTTTTTGCTTGTTTGTTCATATGCGCATTGCAGTTTTATCCTCATCTGCTTACAAGTCCAATTGATCATTAAGCATCTAAATATGAAGGTACTGTCAGTAAGTCAAAAGAAAATTCTGTGTCTGCTTTGGAGTAAGCTATTATCATAGCTCAAGAAGATTGAGTTTGGTAGCAAGAGATTAAAAAAAAGCAAGGAGCCAGATGCTGTCCTGCTCTCTGCGCACCTTTCCAGGCTCCCTTTGCTCCCGAGGCAGACGCGCCTGTGCCAGTCCGGCAGCGGGTTGGCGGGAGCCTGACACTGACATCAGGTGAAGTGCAGTGGGAAGCGTGCTGGGGGTGTAATCTAGCAAGTATGGTACCAGCTCCAGGGTGAGCCGAGGGGCAAGGGAGGCTTGCATGGTACTTTGTAGCACTCACATATACCCACACATCCATATTTTATTTATCTAGCAGTATTATATTAAAGCTGCCTGTCTTTTTAAACTCAGTAGGATTACTTTGTATGGGAATACTATCTTTACATCTCCATATTTATACTGTAATGATGGGTTTTCATTTATTCCAAGATGGAATCACAGTGGTGACCATAGTGGCACGAATAGAGGTTTTTATCCCATATTGATAACTTCCTTCTGCCATCTTCCTTCCTTCAGTCATGCAGATGGAGTAACACAATTGAAATGCCAATATAACATAAGGCTTCATACAGTTCTGAGGATTTCACTTCTCCTGTAACTTGTCTGGGTAAAAACAAGAAAAAAAGCCTGTTGAGACATCTGATACCCAGCCTCTAGAGTCCCCCCTTGTTTCATTTGGCAAGGTGAACGAATATAATTTTTTGGCAGAGAGAGTTACTGGTCCTGAGGAAATGTCAGCTTACTTGGTTTGCTGGGAAAGCCTTTGTGTCTTCAGAGCATTAACAAACAATACACAATTACTTTGTGCCAATTATTGCAGAGTTTCCTGGGCTTTCTAATTCTGGCCTAGGCAAGTTCTGCTCTTCAGGTTTATAAATTTCTTGTTCATAGCATTTATATCATACTGAAGGAGCTGTATGAAGACCTGTTTGTACTTGAATCAAACAGTCCAGAGTTCAGGTACGACTGACGAAAGCAGGGGGGTATTCCCTTCCTGACTTTTTTTTTCCTTTAAATCACACATCTTTTCTCTGTTTTCTCTTGTTTCTGTTTTCCTTTCATATTGTCTGTCTTTCTTTTGGTGGTCTCCTCTTCTTTATATTCCATTCCCTTGGGTTTACAGCCTTTCTCAGACCTAATATACCTCGATATACTTTCTCAGAACCAATATGCCTTGATATACAAGGTCTATACCTAATATGCCGTGGTGTACTCGAACTAGTTTGACAGGAAAAGGCCCATGCTGAGAAGACGGACAAACTGAACTGTTTGCTTCAATGCTCATCATACATGTATATCTATAAAATTGTTGAAGGCAGAGGAAAAGTAGGGAAAAGCATATTAGTGTGGGCACTTTTTTATTCGGTCCTAGAAGTTAAAAGGCTATAGCTTGGGTTGTCTGAAAGAAGGCGGCTGTCCTAGGAACAAATGGAGAATGAAAGGTGGATGAGAAGCAGTAAAATGTGACACGCACTGTAAAAACCGTGGCAAAATACCAGTATATCAAAACTGGGAAACAGAAGGGGAAAAAAATGACAACTGCTGTCCCTTAAATGTTGTTTAATAGTTCTTATGGCATGAACATAGTTTTCTGCCATGCTTTTCAGGCTTTTAGTGCAGTAACTCATCACATGCCAGTCAGTTTATCTTGACCATGCAACAGACTGGACCCCATGTTTTTCCTTATTTTGTCTATGCTAATTATCACATTCAAGTTTGAAGAAATATTTTTTTTAATTAATGTCTTCTTAATGGCATTTAAATTTAGTGCATGAATTGATATGACTCAAACCAGAATGTTTGGTTCACCTTCTTTTATCTCTTTATCACAGTTTATTAATTTCTCTTGTTTTCTGTATTACTTTCTACTACTCAGTTTGTAAAATCAATAAACCTATCATTTCAAATGCTTTTGTGTTCAGTGTCCACAATATAGCCTGCATTTGAGCACAGAACAGAAAATCTGAAAATAAATATTAGGAAATTAATAGTAAGGAAGCAAAATTAACCAGGATGTCTTGACTCTTTAGCTTCTCCACTAGACACTTTGGGTTTCCTCTCGATCATAGCTAGAGCTCAGCTTACACAGCATAGATATTTGTATCCATGGTGCTGTTTTTAATATATGCTGTTTACATTATTCCAGTTTAGTGATCTGAAAGTTTAAATAATTTATTTTTTTTAAAATGGTGTGAAAGTGCCTGAACTAGAACTTAGCATCCTCTTTCTAAAAGAACCCATTTAATTTGTACTCTTAATTTGCTGTAATAGTAAGAGGAATGGCAAGTGCTGATTTCTGTATTTAAACAGACAAATCAATCAGTGTTTTTGGCAATGCTGGCAATTTTTATTGTTATTTTAAAATGCTCATTGGCTCAGCTCGCACTTTATGTTACAATTTCAGACATTTTACATTTTGGTGTCCTGGTGAATTGAGCCAGTGTCTTCAGAGGGCGGCTGCCATTTGCAAAGCTCTGGTGCAGATTTAGGCAGGGTTTAGGGTTTTTTTTAGTTTGTGCCTTTCCTTAAACTGATACCCACTTTCAGAAGTATATAAGCTCCTTGATAGCAGGATGGTGTCTGCAGCTTAACCTTTCTTGCTTAGATATGAAACAGTAGTCATGATATCTTGATGACAGTGTTTGGGAGGTATAGTGGGGAAGGAGTTCCTGAATAATTCAGACTTGAAAATTACATCATCATATGTTGTTTGAGAGTTATATTTGTCTCAAAATGTGCATTGACGTAACATGGAAAATTTGATTTGTTAATTCTTTTTAGATGGAATTGATTAAAAACATAAGCACTGCTGAGCAGCCCTATTTATTCACTAGACATGTTCATTTCCTCAACTTCTCAAGGTAAGGCATTTTTTCAGTTACCAGTCTTTTTAATTGGTTTTTATTAATTTTAGTACATAGAACACTTTTCCTCCTATTTAACGTATAAACAATACGATGTACTTTCCCCCTTCTTTTGTGGCGCTGGAAGTCACATTCAGAAGTTCGCAGTTTTTTTCCTGCGCCCTCTTGTTGCTACAGAATAGTTATGTACAGTATGTTTGTGAAAAGCCAGGATGTTATTGCATGCTTTTGCCTCTGAGATGATCTTGGTTTACAACGTTTCTAGCCAACGTGCGTGAGGCAGTATCCTGGGTCTTTCAGCTCTGCACTCATGTTTTAAAGTGGCAGCCCACTGTTGTGCATGTTTCATCTCTCTATAGCCAGGTACTAATATGAGACTGAAAACTTCACTGAGTTCATGAATTTTGTACCTGGAATGACTCTTCACCGGTTTAACCAATTTAATTTTGTTCTGACAAAATAGTCCCCATTCCACAGGATATGGAAGTATTTATAAACCATTTAAATGGATTATGCTCTGTATCATGGGAGTGCAGTCCCTTCTGGCAGCTATTTAGAAGTATGCAGAAAGACTCTAGAGACATTTGTAGCATGGAATGTGAAGAAAATTTAATTTGGATGAAACTTCAGAGGAATTTTTGGAAGGATGTGAATGAGTGATGCCAGTTAGCAGTTAGCCAGGACACAGAGGTTAAAGCTAACTGCAGATGGTTATTGCCCAGGCTGTAAATTTAATTTGGAAATTATATTCAGGAACCACGCTATCCATGCCACTAGGTTGGAATCATCACATTTAGATAAAAAAAATTCTGTAGAAGTGTGAATTTTCTACAGATCTTTGCATGAGCTTGCGTAACTTTCCAGCATTTTTTTTACATGGTAATGTCAGTGCATGTCCTTTGAATGTATGGCTTCAGGCATGGGTAGATGGTGTAGTAAGATGGGATAAAATCTGGGGGGGGACTGTTGTTGAGCAATTGGAAATTCACTTGATACACAACTTAACTATGGGCATGATTTCCTTACATGAAACCATGAAGAGTTAAACAAAATTCCAGTCTTCTGTGTTCTGATTCCGTGAGAGTTCCATTTCTGATGTATTATCTAAAGAACAGAACTCATTAGAATAGGACTTCATATCTTTGGTAAATGATCTCTTCTCTCTGCTGAAATGCAAGATCAAACAAGTAACCACACCTGAGGGTCAAAGGGACATTTCTTGATTAAACTGATTTTTCAGAGATGGTACACAACATTAGGTACATGAGAAAAAACATGATCATCATTACCTCTCGCTCCTTCCAAGATCCCATTTTCTATACATATGGCACATCCTCTCCACATAAGTAACGTGTTTCTTCTGTAGTGTATCCATTCATGAAATCACTCTGTTTTTCTTCCAAAACAAATTTGTGAAAATATATAAAAAATATAGAAGATGTATAAAAGTATATGCAGCTTCCTTTTTGGCTGTTCCTTGCAAAACTGAAAAATGTACTTTTCATGTTATTGAGAGAACGTAGTTTAGCCAGTAGCTGTAGAGTAGTGAAAAGGCTGGTGAGTATTCTAAACGAGATGCCATTGAAGGGCATCAGCTTCACTTTCTTTTGGTTTAGCATTTCCTAGGGTTTTCTGATAAAGATTTCTGAGAGTTTTAGTCTTTAGTTTCAAAATTTATTGGCAGTGTTACACCTAATAGTGAAGTAGTATATTGAATATTTTCTCTTTAATTCTAGGGTGATTTTTTTTAAACTGAATTTCACTAGGAACTGATGTGTCAAGTATTGATTTTGCAGAAACTTCAAGAAAGTAATTCAAATACACATTATAAATATTACAGAATTGTGAAAGTGTTTTTGTTTTGCTTGATTATTTTTTTTTTAAACTATTCCTTTATAGACCATCTCTAGTGGATAGCTGAACTGAAACTGTCTGTGGAATAAGGTTCCTTACATTTACCCCAGCTTTTCTGCCAGCTCAACGTAAAAGCTGTGAAATACCCCAGAAACGTAAAGAATGAGTGTCAAAGTATCAATGTGGTGTTTTCTGGCTGACAGCAGCTCACCGTGAGCCGCGAGTGGGGTGGATGTGCAGGGGCGGGTAGGAGACAACCAACTCCTGACTGCAGGCTTAGGGCAGCTTCAGATCCATGAAAGGCTCAAAGATCAGCTTGAAGACTGAAGAACCCTACTTTGGTGAAATCTCTTGCTTCTTCCCAAGGCAAGGGAAGCATTGGGAAGCTTTCTACATGCCATTGTAGCAGAACCATTACTGGAAATCATGAGTTTTTGCCAGAGCAGCCATCCTGGGCATTAGTCCAGTGATTTAGCTCACTTCTCTTGTTTGTCATTTCATACCTCTGAAACGAAGCTTTTGTTTGTAGGAAGGGATAAGGAACGCTGTATTTTCTTCCCACCTGTATGTTTCAAGCTGGCAGACAGGTTGGAGATAGAAGGCAGGTTATCTGTGCCACTCTTTTGGTAAGCTCAAAAGTCACTGTAGGGACAAAAGGGATCTCTTCCACTCTCCATGCACTTCTCTGGTTGAGTGCTTTCAAGATCTGTAGGGATTACGTTAAGCTGTTTAGAACACATCACCAAAGTACTTGAGAAGCAGAGAAAGTGTAAGCAGAGTCGTGCAAAATGGGAGTCTGCTTTGCTTTTGCTTACTGGTGCTTCTCAGCTTCCCAAGCAGTAGTAAGAAAAATAAACTTGATTTTTGTTTAACATCACTGATGTGAATAGCAGCATGACAAATCACTTGGATTTCCCCCCTTTGCACCCTGCACCTGCTTATAAACCTGTCAGCACTTGAAGTGCTCTGATTTTTCAAAAAAGCACCACAGCATTTACTTATGATTACTTCCAACTTAAAAAAAAATTAAAATAAAAAAAAAAGGGGGGGGGGCCTATATCTTCTTTCCAGAAAAAATCTCTAGTGGAAGTGAGCTAAGCCTTCAGTGGTGAATTTGAGCACAGGCATGTTTCTGAGGCACCATTAGTTTTGCTGCACAAAGTTCTAAAAACTTGAAAACCTCATTCTGACCTGAATGCTTGCCCAAGGACGTTCTCCCCTCGTTTTTGAACAGTGTTTTAACAGTGCCTGCTGGTTCAGCTGAGTAAATGAATCCCCATTTACTCTGTCTTCATCTTTTCGTTCAGTGCTATCTTTTCTCAATCCAAAGTAGTGCAAAGAGGCAGACAAAAAGGCAAATCTTAAAAGGAAACACTAAAGCAAATCTTACATGAGTTTTTACAGACATAAATCTAATTAATTGCAGCTTCAAACAGAAGAAAAAAACACCAAGTTTCTTGCTCTTCTTTGATGTGAGTGTACGTCTACACAGTGCTTGTCACAGGAAAAGCTTTTATTCCCAATGGCTTGCAGCTTCTGTTCCCAGCCTCTCCCATGCAGCAGGGGCTAGCTTTAGGAGATGACCCAGTGCCTCGAGAGGCCAGCTCCTCCATCCAGTCCATTTTGCGACTTTTTTTTTTTTTGAGGAAGGTGGTGCTGTTTATTGAATTCTCCTTTACTTGTGATTCCTGGGTGAGGCTTTTCACTATAGATTTGTGGTCATCATCATTTCATTCAAAATGCTGGACTGACCTCTCCATATCTGGCTTTCTTCTAGTAACCCTACTTGGAAATGTTTCATGTGCAGAGGTAATCGTTTAGGTGCTTATTGGTTTCACACTGGCTGTTGCTGCTGGGGCTAGCTCAGCATGGGATTTTCTTGCTTTTGATGGGAAAAAGAGTGTATTTCTCAGAAGTCATCCATGAAAGCATCCCAGCTGCATTCGAAGGCGTCGAGTTACACCACCTCTGACGCTTCCTGGGGCATTGGTTCTAGTTGTCTGTCAGCTTTACTGTTCAATTATTGTGGCTAATTTCTAATGTGAATTTCTCTGGCTTTTACTCCTTACTGACTGAAATGCTTTTTTTGTTCCCTGGTGTTCCTCCCATGCATCTGTCTGCCCCTGCCACCTCCAAACACCGTTCACTCTTTTGATTGCAGGTTCTCTCAAACCTGTTGCTGATGGGTGTTTTCCTCATCCATTTAATAACTCTGTGACTCTTTGCTGAAATTTCTGCAATAGTTCCATAGTCTTTATTAAGCGTAAGCATCAAAACTGTACTCTGGACCTGTTTCAGCTTCACTAATGCTGTATATGAAAAAAAAAACCAAAACACCCTCTTTGCAGTTGCCATGCTTATACCTTGTAAAGCTACAGTTGCACCAGCAATCTGGATTTTCAGGGCGAGTGGTTTTTCCAGTGTGTTTCCTAGATCCTTTTCTAGGCACTGTTTATCAGGTTGCCATTCCCCATTCTGTAGAAATGACCTTCATTTCTTTTTTCTTAAATGTGTTAACCAAGGGGGGAAAAAAGAATTATGTGAAGCATGAAAAATTACTAGCTGCTGTCCTACTGCAGTGGATGTTGTGAAGTAGAAAATCCTTTGAATAAAAAAAATAAAGGAAATTCTCCCTTGATATTTATGTGTACTCTGAGAATGCTGGGATTTGTTGGCCTATGTTTAAAAAAGAAAAAACTCTTATTTTTCTCACGTGCTTAAGGAGCTCTAGTAGTTGTCAGTCATAACCTGTGCTGTGGTCTGCAGTGCACGGGGCAGGGTCACCTACCTCCATTTGTGCGGAACTCAAGAATTCAGGAGGTTTGCCTCCTTTCAGGGATGTATGCCCGAAAAGGGCACATTGCAGGACCAGGGTGACAGCTATCATTTATCTTTGTCATATTCCAGTTCCTTTTCAAAGTCAAAGCTGCATATATTTTAAAAAATTATGGGAGCCATTAAATTAATAAAATACTGATAATTTCTTTTGTCTCTTTCTGAATTGAAGTTTGTATACTGATGTTGCTGGGAAAAGCATCCAAAATGTTAATCACAAGCAAATATTCAAGAACGTCTGTACTCTTAAGCAAGTAAAGATTTATATGCTGATACATTTGCTGAGGTTGCAGGTGTTATTGGTGGAT